CCTGTGCTTTCTATTTACTTGTATTCAGTTTTAATCTTTCTGTATGTGTGGTATTGTGAATGTATATTATATGTTTTTAGGTTGTCTCTTTAATTGTAAATACTGTTAATTATTGTAAATAACCTACTGTACATGTATAGTGGATTTAATATTATTACATATTATTAAAACTTAAGCTCTCGTATACTGTAGCCTTGATCTCTTCACTATGTACTTAAGCTGTATGCTTCTGTGATAAAAATGGGTGTGATGATATAGTTTTATATAGTTTATTATATGTATAATTATAAAACGTTCGTGTTCTCTTACTCACTGTTGGTCTCCATGCTCTCACATAGTTCGGTCTTAACCTCTCCGTTAGGTCGGTCTCCTCCCTTCTGGGTCAGTTTCCCCGACATGGTGGCAGCTGTCACGATTGCCTGATCAGAAATCCATTGATTGGAAATAAGGACTGTTAGCATGGTACAAGTTCTGATTTTTTCCTTAGTTATAATGTTAATTCACAAGACATGTGTAATTGCGTTAAGAGTTAGTTATCCTCATTATCATGCAGTGTAATCGGTATTTAAACATTCAGTAAAATTGATTAAAGTAATGGTAAATGAATATAACCTATAACCTCACCTTGAAGCTGCGTTTTCGTTTGGGTACGTTCTGCTCAGGGTGGAAAAGGATGATGTAGACCTTGGGCATGTAGAGCATCCCCAGAGACACAGAGGCCGACAGGCTGAGAGAGATGGTCAGGGTGGTGGTTTGGATATACATCTAGGAGGAGGGAGACACAGACAGCGACAGAGTCATTTATCACATTTCAAGTTGTCAGAGATAGTCTGTGTAATCGTCCAACTACAGAATATGCCTGATGAGAGAGAGAGGAGGGGGGGGAGGGGGGGGGGGGGGGGGGGAGACAGGAAGCAAAGGATGGTCTAACAAGAGCGAAATTAGCAGAAAATATGTGTAGTGACAGCCACAGCAACACACAGGCAGGTAGATCAAATGGTATAAGAAATGATGGCACCAATGAAGCTGCTTAATTGCCCGTGCGCTGCAGAGCTTGTCTCTTTGTCTAAGAATGGGAAATTATTCTTTTTTTTTGGCAGGCTGAAACAGCAGATGGGTGTGGTTTATTGCGAGTTGACAGTGAAAGGAATTACACTAAATTGACTTTCAGACGTGTTTGTCTGAGAGTCTGGATGAAGTTTGGCCTACATGAGACCTTACAGGAAAAGAAAAACTTATTTTTAACTGTTGGTTAACTACAGTTATTCTCAAATCTGTGCATTTCTGTATTTTTTCAGTTGAGAGTGAGTTGCATGACTACAGTCGCATTGTCAAACAAACTGTCCTGTATAGTGAACTAGATAGTGGACTGAAGGACAGATATGATGAGAGATACAGGCAGGCAGTCATAAATTTTATGTACATGGTACTAAATGAAGACTTTATTAAACCACTTTCGACAGCTATAATGAATATAATGTGTGTCAGGCAGACACACGTATACACACTGCAGTGGACCGAGCACTAGTCCTCAGGTCCCTTAGTGAGTTTCAGAGAGTAGTTTGGAGGAGGAGGACAGACCTGACACAGCTGACAAGCTCTCAAGACATGGGGCTCATCAGGCCAGCACTGTCTGCAGTATATCAAGAGAGACAGACAGAGGAAGGAGTGGTGAGATGGATTGAAATATGGGAAAGAAGAGTAGAAATGGAAAGGTGAAGCCTGGAAGGAAAAATAACAGAGAGGCATGGGGTGAGGAGGGAAAGAAACAAGAAACAAAAATTGATGTTATGGGATAGGGCAAGTGAGGGAGAGAGAGGAGGAATGCGACTTGTGGAGACACTGATGAAGTGAGAAAGAGAGAAGACAGAAAGACAACAGTGGCCAACTATATTGTCAAAACGTGCACTGGCTGAGGCAGTGCTGGTAAGTACAGGCTGACAAGAAGAAGTAGAACAGAGAGAAAGTAAAGCTGCACTGTTAACTCTATAGTGACTAAACACCTTACACAGCCAGTGTCTGAAAATCACACTAGTGCTGCAGTTTTACTTAGTGATACTGTTAGATCCTCCACTGTTGACTCCATTTTCATTTATTAAATAGAACAGTTTCTGTACAGAGAGCACATTTGTGACATACAGCACAAATAACTGAAAAAGTAATTCCTCTCATATATTACAATAGAGAGCTACCTAACAATGCAACAAAGCTAGCGTTCCTGGGGGTATAAATAATAAGACCAACACAGTCAGTGGGTGAAGTTGGGACAAAACAACCAGGCAGAGCATGCTTTTAATTTGCCAATTTAATTCAGAATTCATTGTAGGCTGTAAATGCTGTAAATATACCTCTAAAATAGTATCATTTAGAGAGCACATTTATTAAAAAATTGGAAATGGACATTATAAAAATTAAAGAGGATATGACCTCAGGATTCTCAATCAGAAGTAACAGACCTGAGCTGCCCTGGTATGAATATGTTTAACCACACTAGAAATTAATAGTTTTATGTTCCAAATGCAGAAAAAAAATATGTGATGAATCAACACATGCACTTCTGTCCCAGGCCCCCACTGCTGACCCATCAACATGCCGAACCCCCAACCATTCCAATATCCTTAACCATCTCTTAATTCTTACCTCGACACTAAACCCAAGCCTTAACCCCCAAACAGGCTTTTTTGAAGGAGCCAAAATATCATCCCTTTTCAAAAATATCCTCGCTCTCAAGGTCTCAAACTCAAATTGGTCCTCACAAACGCAGAGGAAGGAGAACGCACACACACCTGCCTGAAGGTCTAAGTTGATAACACTGACAGTAGCCAAAGGGAAAGGGGAGTGCACAGCCAATAAACTGGAGGCAAATCCACACACACAGAGATATATAAACCCATAAGAACAAATTCAAGTATATAGGTGTGTTGCATTTAACTACTTTGATTTAAACATACATGCAGACTGCAGACAGTGTGTAAAAGCTTTACGTGGACATTGTTTTTTTATTTTCTTCTTTAATTTTCTTTTTTTTCTGGATGATATTCCTGTGGTGGCATCACGGGTTAAATAGCTCTGCCTGCAGCTCACCCACAGGCTCTGATAGCAGTTTAGTCTCCACTCCCACCCGGCGTCTTTCACCTCAACCACAAGATCACACACACACACACACACCAAACCAAGCACTAACAGAGGAGTGAGTTACGCAATTGTTTGAGACAGATCACCAATTAAGCAAATGGAAAAAGATTGTGAGAGAGGGGAAGGAAGAGAGAATTAGTGGATTTATTCACACTTTGCCATATTGTTTCTGCCTTATATTTCCTGCCAACAAATTGCACTCAATTGAATTGCACTGATACAGGGATCAGTGAAGTGGCTGTATCAGAGAAGAACAGATGGAGACTGTTTACAGTAGGGAGAGACAGGAATGAAACTGAGATGAAAAAGGTAGAAAGAGAGTCGATGAAGAAAAGAGTAAAAATGGAATAACCTACAGGAAAAAAGAGGCAGAATAACAGTGGAAAAGACAGGGAAGGAGAGATTCCCTTAAGCAGTGAACTTGCTCTTATCAAAACAGCAGTGAGTTTGCTGATAGCGGCTTCCATTACATCTAGCCTTTGGTCCAAAGTTGTGGCTTCCAGCTGTTATTTACACAAAAGGCACATATATACACGCACACACCGAAGACTGGATCTGTCCTCCTCCACCCTGCTGTCCACAGCTGATAATGGCTAAAAATGTGTGCATCGGAAGAACGCTCTATTATCCCAAAAGTCACACTCAGAAAGTAGATGATTAGCTACGGATGGCTGCATACAATATGTTCCCTTAAGGTTTAAAACATTTACAGACGGAGACTCTCTGGTCCGTGATAGGAAGAGATTTAGAAAGAGGAACGGAGCGATGGCGGATGTGCTTTTAACACCTGGGGAGAGAAAAAGGAAAAGAGGAAGAGCAGAAAATGTACACTAGATGCTATATACAAATACTTGGGTTATACCTATTTACGATTACTTTTAGTGTTAAGGTTAAAGAAAGTGATGCTTCAGCTAAACTGTTGGTAAGTGTCAGTGAGTAATATTGCCCAAATTGACTTAGCAGTGCTTGGCCGATTACACAGGAGTGTTTTTATTGTTATTCTCTTGCATGCTCATTTTAAAAACTGCTCATCTATGGATTTTTGTTTACCGGACACCTTGTTATTTTTGAATTAGTGTAGTAGTAGATAGCTCCACTGTTGTTATCTGTTTTGAGGGAGCCTTACCTCATATTGAACATATTTGCACAAAAATAATGTTGCTAAGATTATATTTAAAACTTAACATACTGCATCACAGTGATCACCGATCGCTGCAAAGCTTGTCGGTCCAAGTGCAACTTCTTCAGCCATCATGTGTGTTGTCTCCTTTGACTGTCCAATTAGTCATCACCTCTGAGCTACAGGATGCCACGACCAAGGGTTTTGACATTACCTAAAGATACACTGCTATTAGCAGATAATGCTATTATTAAAAGGTCAGGTGTGTAACATTTAGGAAGCTTTATTGGCAGAAATGGAATATAATATTGATAAGTATGGTTTTATTAGTGTATAGTTACCTGAATGAGAGTTTTGTTTTTAATCTACAGGTGCTGCGAGATGCCTTCCATGGAGTCTGCCTTGAACCGCCATGTTTCTACAGTAGCCCAGTAGTAGACGGTCCAAGCAAAACACTGGCTCTAAAAAGGAGTTTTCACGTTTTTTACACAATTTGCACAGACATAGTTTGTCCTTCATGTCGGGAAGGGTGAAGCGAGGGAGTTGCAAATTGAAATAACAATGCTAGATGCCACTAAATCTACACGCTGGACCTTTTAGTTTTAGACATATATGTGTAGAATGTTTGGCTAGATGTTATTATTTGGTACGTTTCCCAGAACAATCATGCTGTTGTTTGACATTAAACATGTTATGTCCTGGACGATGGAGATGGAGCGTTATGAGCAGGCGGAACAAATTCAGATAAACAGATAAAATTATGACATTCATGTCACAAATACAATCTCTGAGAGGGGAGACTGTTTGAGGGAAAGAGCCTGACTAGAGTCTGTAGGTGGAGGAGAAGAGTGTGACCTCCTGACCTTTAGTAGATGCAGCACAATGGAAAAAAGCAGGACTTACAGGCCTGAAGCAAAACTTTTTTTATTTTTTTTCCACAGGGCCATATAAGCACCATCTTATCTGGCAGTTAACAGTGCCATTCGATGTAGGCCAGTGAATGGCTGTATAAGTAATGTAATTCCCAGGAGACACGGCTGATCCCAAGAGACAGGCAGCTTGATAGTTATGCCACCCCATCAATGAGGTAAGTGTAGAGAGAGCAGCCATCTCTTCACGACAGAAGCTGAAGCATGACAGCGAACGTTGACGGCTTTTCTGGGTTAGCTTAGCTGTGCTATAGATACAGCTTGTGAACGCCACATCAGAAGCAAATGAACTAAATTAGACCCATTTTCTGCAGACCCTGCAATTTCCACAAAAGGGAGAGACATATGACATATAGACATTAAGTTAAGACCTAAAACATGTGTTGTATAAATGGAGGAGGACATTGTCATAGAGTTTTTTTTTCTGCACATTATGTGGGCTCCTCATATTGTCAGAATAAAAGGCTGCTATGCACTTTAATCACTGCCTTTGAAAACAGGTTGTAGGGAATTTGTTGAGTCAAGAAGTGGTCTGAGCAGTTGTACATGCAAGCACGTCCTCATACAAATATGAATCAGAT